TTTGGGATCCTCAAATATTTTTCAGAGTATAAAGGAGTCCAGAGACCAATAGTTTAAGGCCTACTGCCCTAGCTAACACTAAAGGGTAAAGAAGATCTCCTACTTGGTTAACCTGGGCTTTCATTATTCTCACAGTCTCCATCCATCCTTACAGCCATATTTGTGTTTGTCTACATCAACTTGTTACCCATGCCTGGCAATGTCCTGCTTGAATGAAGTGGGGACTACAATGAAAATATTCATTTGTTGTCACAGCATCCTTTACTCAATACATAACTGTACCATATACAAATTACAGTATGTATTACATAAAAGAGGTGTTTAAAGCTTTGCTAATATAAGCAATGAGATAAAGCTATGTCCTTTACTGGTATCTTATGGAGTCTGAATGGATCTAACAATCCATAATCTTTTTTTCACACCTGCATTATTAAATTTTAGATATTCAGACAACTGGTACGTGTTGCTTCTGTGCTATGCTAACTCCAGAGGAATGCTTGAAAATATCTTCATGTTAAATCTTGGTTCTCAGAACTCCAATCTCTAGCAGAAACAAACTGTCTGACTGATGGACAAAACTGGTTTTTAAAGTAAGCCATGGTGCAGTAATAAAACTGAAAAAAAAAAAATCTAGATCCAAAAGTTCTAACCCAAGGATTATCTTAGAAGGAGAGTTTTTCAGAACCAAGAACAACACTACTTAGAGCTGAGCATCCTGAGAAAAGGAGTTACGTTGAAATTTATACCAGTTTTTATTAAAAACAGAAGCAAACTAGACTGTGTTTGTATTTTTTAAAAGTTTACAAGAGCAAAGCATTTCTTCTAAAATGTTATTCTCTCACTAAGTGTTGTAAAGTGCCTTAATTAATTCTTACGATTCTAATAGCCCTAAAAGCAAGTCATAAAAATATTTACTTGGGAGTATAAATTGGAATGACATTTTGAAAGGACCATTTGAAAATATTTAGCAGAAGCCTAACATGCATACCTACTGACTAAGCTTCCAGTTTTAGAAATTTATCCTGAGAAAACTGGCAATGACACAGATACAAGGATGTTCATTACAGTGTGGTGTATAATAATAAAAACTGGAATGAGCCTAAATATCTAACATCACGGGGCTGATCAAGTAGACTGTCATTCATCATATAATGGAATACTATGTGGCCATAATACAAAATATAAAAATTATATCCTAAAATTATGTATGGCAAGGAAAAGTATTCACTATATATTGCTAAGGGAAAAAAACAAGTTATAAAACTGAGTATTACATGATCTTATTTCCGGTTAAATTATGTACATGCGTAAAAATATCTGGAAGGGTATACATGTATAAATTAATAGTATTTGCTGTTGAGTTTGGGATTACAGGTGATTTATTTATTTTATTTTATTTATTTACTTCTTTTGAGGGGTCTGTACTCTGGTTTTCTACAGTGAACATCTTTTCCTTATATAATAAAAATGATCATTAAAATATTTACTTGAGGCAACCATGCAGTTGTTAGTGTTTTCCTATTCTTATAAAACCGAATACTGTATGTCCTATGGGAAAGTGGTGGAGGGGAGAGAGAGAGAGAGGAAGAGAAAGAGGGAGAAAGGCAGATAGACATTTATATTGATTATTATTTTATCACGTATATTTGTTGTGAAGTTTTAAGTTAACCTTAGATTTAACACTCTGGAAAGAATTTTCAATGGAACATAGTTGTGAATAGTTAGTGTTCACAAGATCGCAGTCTACCCTCATAGATTTAATTTCTTTCCTCTCCTTGGAATGCCGATTTTTTTTGTGTAAGGAGCAGGTGGCTTTCTTTTTTTACGTCTCTCCCCTGCCTTGTCAGACACAGCTCTCTCAAAACTTCTTTGGGAGCTAACCAAGCTTTATCTAACCAAACCGAAAATGGCATATGGACTTCATCCACATGGTCATACGAATCCTTTGGCTGATGATTCCTGCCAGGTATTTAATCGGTTTTAAAAAATCCATGCTTGAAGAAGGATTCTATAGCTATAAGAGTGTGATGCTCTGGGACAAAGAAAGTAGTGGCAGAGAGGCTACTTTAGCTGTGACACTAGAATATGGTGCACATCACTGCCACCAAATATTGGCAATATGTAGCCCAACAAAGGAAGAATCCTAATAATTTTGAGTGAAAAATTTCTATTATGCATAGCTTAGGTCTACTAATAACACTTCCTTAAATGCCTTGTTGGAAATCTGGGAATAATTATCAAACACCATATACAGTGTTTACAATAGAATCTTATTTCTTTTCTTTCTCTGCTCCCCCTCTTTTTTTTTTTTTTTTTTTGCATAAAAACTAGAATGCTGCTGAATGGTACCCAAATGTCTGTTGTATACCATGCCAATACAGCAGCTCAGCCAAAAATGCGAGAAGAAGAGTTTGCCAAGTAAAAGAAAACATAACAAATTGGTAATGGTTTCTATCTTGACAGAAAATGAAAATGATCCCTCAATGTGTGGTCACTCATGCGGACACATAAAAATGTCTTAGAAGCAATCATTTTACCTCAGATAACAGACCCTGACAGTGTAGTACAGCATTGGCTGACTTTCACTTCTTAGAAAAGCAGCAACCGTGACCTACAAAATAGTCTGGGAACCATGTAATTTATGCATAACACACATGCACATGCCATGCACTCATAATATTTGCTATAAATCATTTTGAATACAAGACTTCTTTTCTGAGTGGAATATATTTTATGAGAGATGATCTAAATCACCAGGCACTTGATAAAGCTAAACTGGTTTATTTATGAACAGACATGACGTTGTTGCTCATCAGGTGACAAAATTTCAGTAGTCTATATTGCAATAAAAAGGCATTATATAAGGGCTCCATGTATTCTATATGATTCCTTATGGTGCCTTGAACACTAAAGGTATTTTATTAGATATTAGATAAAACAAATACAAAAAATGTGTAGGTACATAGTGTACATTTCTGACTTTCTGTTTAGGAGACTGCAATTGAAAACAGAAATGTAACACTCGAAGACTTGGTAATGGTTCCTTTAACTTATTTTCCCTTCCTTTACCACTTATTTTTGTTCCCCAGATGGAGAACTGGCCAATGTCATTGACCAGTGATTTTTTTCCCCCATCTGGTGAAATTTTTCCATTTATTTAACTTTCTAATGAGGATGGTAGAATATTGATTGTGCTGTGAAATCATATCAAAAATAATAATGACACTTTTAAAAACACTAATTGATATCTGAAGCTAATGAAGAATTCAAAATGAGAGAATATTGAACCAAGGGACTAGGAAGAACCTGGGGAAGTTAAATGGTCTTGCCAAGTTGAAAGTAAATTTGAATCCTGTGGGTTATGAGTTTCAAATGAAACTTCTGGGTTTAAATTTGTTGGTGACTTTCCTGTTCAATAAAAAAGGACTTAAATGGCTTATAAAAAGGTTAAAAAAACTTATTGGGCATCAGACTACTTTTACAAAACACCATCTTGATGAGTTAAGTGTAAATGAATCAGAAACACATGGATCATATTTCCTTAAAAAAGGCATATGGATTCAAAAATAAGGGGAAGAGGACTTGGCAAAACATTTTTTTTGTGTGGTGGCTGAACCCAAAACATTTGAAAGATATTTTGAGACATTCAAGGAATCCAAAATAAAACTAAACCTGTCCAGTCATAAAAAACAGAAAGTTCTTCTATGCAATGTGAATTTATCTCTATGGGTCAATCAACACTCACTGAGCCTTCACTTTTGGCACAAGGCTACGGGAGGAGCCGGCTTCTGCCTTTAAGCAGCTAAGAATTTAAGTATAAACAAATATAGATAAGTAATAAAAACCTATTAAAAGAGACCTAGAGTTTTACAAAAAATTGGCATCATAACCCAGATCATGCAGAAACTATATACTGAGAAATAGACAAGTGCTTTCAGGGTCCTAGGCTAGTGGGATTCATTCCATTGAAATCATCATGCCCTCAGTCCTTTTGATTAAATTTATATATAGTTGCAGAGTCTTACTTGCTTAAATGTTTTCTTAATAAGTGTTTTTATGTCTTTTTTAATGTGTGTCCCAGCCCTCTTTCCTCCACCCTCTAGATTTGTGAGTGCTCAACAAATCTTGCTGACTGGTTTCCTGGAGGCTGAGAGTGTGGAACAGAGTTTTGAAACAGGGGAGAGACGCTGTTTGGCAGAGAGGAATGAGGCTATGATTCTGGGTTAGGGTAATGCCACATGTGACAGTTCAGAGGCTCCAGAGGGTGAGTCATGTGTGGGGGGTGACCCGCTGGCTTGCTTGCAGCCATGTGCCTGAGCCAGGGTGTAGTGGGAGGTGGAGGCAGTTAGGTGTGGGGAGGTCTAATAGACTCCATGAAGTCAACTGGAGGACAGAGGAGTGTGATAAGGGAAAGTACAGTTCTTACTGTTTTTTTTTCTTTTTGCCAGTATAGGCTCAAGTGCTAAGTACAGGACTGTACAAGTCATTAATTCCTTTATTTCTTATCAGTGTCCTAAAAAGCTGAAAAATATCCAAAGATAAAAATAAGTTAACTATGTATGTATTGCTAGGATCCTGTAGGTCATAAATTTGAAGAGGACCTTAGCAGGATTATGAAATAGATTAGTGAGTTCTAAAATGTTTGTGGGAAAGTGTAAAAAATTAATGATTTAGAATATTTTAAGGCTGTTTTCTAGCTGTTTAATGCGAATCTTATCTTTTCCACAATATTAGCAAGTTATTTGGGGCTGGGATAGTGTCATATATTTCTTGTGTGTTTTCCACAGGCTAGCAAAATACTGGGAGCACACCCAACACTCAATAAATGCTTACTGACATGAAATGCAGTGAAAGGGTGCTGAGGCCCTGTAACGATGAGTGTATGATTGAAGGTAAAGTCTGAAAAAAAAAAAAAGGACGAAGTAGTGGAAATGTCCTCATTGTGCCTCTGCCCTAAGCCTATTTGTTCATGGCTAATATAAAGAAATCAAAGCCCTTACCATCCTTCATCATCTTCTACTTCTGTTTCAGACACGTCGTTTTCAGGAGTTTCCGCAATTGCTTGAGTGAGTTTGGATTTAAACTGGTTCAGCAGTGCAAGGGTCTGAAATGACAATTAGATTGCCAAGTTTTCTGGTAAGGATAAATTTAATTTTAGAAGAGACACAAATTTATTAGGAAAGAAAATATTCAGGCAGGATATAAAACACTTAGATAAATTTTTAATTTTGAAGGAAAATAACAAAACTGCCTGCAAGCTACAACAGTGATTGATATTCACAAACCCTGACATTGCCCTGTTTGCATTTGCACTGACAATTTCCCTCAGAGATATGTGACCATTTTCTGATTTGGGGAACGTAAATTTGCTTATATAGAAGATGCTTAAACTTTAAAATCATGCTTATTAATAGCTAAGTTTTTAATGTCCACAAGAAAAGGAGGTACTTCATTAAGATATGTTAAAATCAAAAACAAAAAACCAACAACGAATAGTATTTTTCATTGAACAAATTTCCAAAAATGTAATACTATCAATGTTGGGCAAGGTGAAATGAATAAACACATCAACTGTTAGAAGATGGGTAAACTGGAGTGATATCTTTAAAAAGCTGTTTATATGTATCAGAAACTTTATGGTGATCACTCCCTTTGATTCCATAATTCCAATCTTGGGAATACATGTAGAAAAATAATCTGAAACACAGAAAATGGCTTATGCAAAAGATGTGCTTTGCAGCAATATTCATACCAGTAGAAAAATGGAAATATATTAAATTTCTATCAATAAGAAACTAGATAAATTTGGTAAAAAGCAGTGAATATGCTATTACACTATTATTAAAAATTATATACATAAAGCATTACATTCTATTGTTAAATGAAAGAAGTAAGATACAAATATCATGTTGAGTATGTATTTTTTAAAAAGGGACCATTCTCCTGATTCTTGTTTGGCTCCCACACCTTTTGTGGGTAAGAAGAAACAACAAGTGTCTACAAGTTTGTAATCACATTGTCCCCTGGCTATACCTTAATGGTCTACTCTAGAATTTCAGCAGAGAACAGAAGTTAGAAAAAGATTTTTTTTATTCTACAGTTTTAAAAAGTACATAATTGTGAAATGGGATAAAGCACTACCTGTCTAAAAAATCAAGTGTTTAATTAAGATACTGATACAATGAATTTAGTACTAAAATATTCAATTTCATAAGGAAAAAGATGTGTGATAGTTCAATAGGTGAATAACAGGTATAGTAAGAAGTCACAATAAATTGCAAAGCTCCAGAATTTACCTAGGAAATATCATTAAGACCACAGTTTATGAAAAAATTAAGTAGGTTTTGGTGGTCTAGAACCTCAGCTCAATAAAGACAGGTGGTGCCAAAATACTTGCAAGGAACAGAGGCAGCTATTGCTAAAAAATGACAGAGAAGTGCCTTATATGTTTCTGCAAAATTTAATGCCCACATGGACAACAGCTGAAAATATACACATTACATAGCTGCTGAATGAGATGGGTTTTGGGAAAAAACTATAAATTCCGACAGAATATCCTCACAGGCATTCTGAGGGCTGCCTGGTGTGTTAGGGTTTAGATATTTTATCTGTTTCTAGAGTAGTAATTATGGGACTAAGCTCTTCAAACAATGTTAGATAAAGAAAGCATCCCTTGTTTTTAAACCTTATTTTTTATTCATTAACAAAATCCTTTTGATTACAAACTTTTATTGTATTTGCTTTATAATAAGAAAAAAATGTTATTGTAGAAATATTAGAAAATAAAGAGAGGCAAAACAAAAATATCTATTATTCCACCACTCAGAATAACCATTGTGGACATTTTGGTATACAGCCTTCAAGGTTTTTTATATGTTTTTGTGTGTGTGTATGTGCTTATATATCTATATCATATTATATATATAAAATACAGTATTAATATATATAACTAATGTATATTTATAATTTATGTATAATAAA